TAGTTGGTAAACGATGTGACTAAGGGTGTCTTCGACGAAGTCTCCGGCGAAGGCTCTCTAAGAGTTCGAGGTGGTAAAAGTGTGGGAAAGAAGGAGAAGACATTTTTATATAGTGCATGTGCCCATCATTGGGCACGAAGCACAAAGGGGTGCATTTAATGCGCACGACCTCCTAAGTAGCGAAAAATGGTTGGCAGCAATAATGGGGTGGTTGGGGCAGTTGCAGAACCCTTCGTCTTCTTACGACGCGTGTCCTCAGTGTCAGAAGATCGAAGGTTGGGAGGTAGTTGATGGGACATTTCTAGATATTCCAAGGTGACGACACGTGTCCTCGGCGTCAATGGATACTCGCCAATCAGATCACGACACGTNAGGTAGTTGATGAGACATTTCTAGATATTCCAAGGTGACGACACGTGTCCTCGGCGTCAATGGATACTCGCCAATCAGATCACGACACGTGCGTGTCGGTCCATAATCCCCCTTCCCCCGAGGATACTGTTCATAGGGATCAAGGATCCCCAGTATCCCATAGACCGACACATATCCCTTGGTCAGTTTTGGGTGCATCGGCCCCTAGTAACACTAGACCCTCGGCACCGAGGTATATCCGTCTACGAAGCATTTCTGCTCTTGTAGGGCTATTGGCGGACAGATCACTAGCTTAGGCTAGGCTAGACTAGCCATCATGACCTCGTCTTACTCAAATGATGTCAGGAGGCACAAGAAAGTAGGAGACTCAACCAAGGGGAAATGGGCACGTGGCGTATTGTGTCAGATCAGAGACAAAAAGACCAGAATGCCTTTGCTGACACACGACTTGGGAAAGCAAGTATTTAATGTACCCTTCCCTTGATGAGATAGCATTTAATGCATGAGAGCCTGAAAGTGAAAGGTAATAAATGTCCTGAAGCCTTGGCATTTAATACATTCCTGCCGAGGAAAGGTCATTAAACATTCGGCAGACCGAAGAGAAAGCATTAGTTGCTTGGGGTCCCAAGCAGTTAAGAATAATAACACTACTCATAGAAATTGGTGTGCACACTGCCTACCTCCAATGATTACCTATTAGCTACGATGTCAGCAATAATGAGTTTTTAAGGTATAAATAGTCCTCACAAACACATAAAAGAGGTACGCAAAAAACCCTTTCTCAAACATTATATAGTGTTTTCTTCTTCTCATCTCTCAAGGAATTGACTTGATCGTCGGAGGGGATACGTCGGAAAATATTCCGGCGCCCTTCTAACCTGTTTTTTTTTGTTCCCGGAACCTCCCTTAGCCTTTCAGAATCACTCAGGCGACCCCTAAAAACAATTCGTCACCACTTCATTGGCCACTTTTGGCCCTCACAACCTGTTCCAAGTAACAAGATTGACCACTCAATTGATGGACTATTATTCATCACGAAAGAGATCTGTTATCGTGTTTATATTGTGCAGGATCTTGCACGCAGAAAGATCAAATTCTCAATACTCACAGCAAAATTTCTCTAGTCAAGGAAGAAATCAGAACTACAACAAACATCAAGTTACTTGTTAGAGCTGCAGTAAGTTTGGTCACAGTTCTATCAATTGCTACCATCGTATGAACTTCTCTTATCAAGGAAATCAAAGCTCATAGTCCCAATTATATATATAAAATAGTACAAAATTGAAACAATTTTTCATTTATTTTATTCAAATAGTACAAAATTCATCCCAAATTTTGTTTTCCGCTCAAAAATATTATTTTTATTGCAAAAATTATGATTGACTTCGCATTTCGCCTTGAATATAAAAGCGCTTTTTTCTAGCTTTGCCCCCAATTAGTTGGACTAATTAACATTTATCATCGCTCTAAGCTAATTTGCCCTACAAAATCTAATCAACCTGAACCTAACACGACTATTTCTGCCATATTTGCTGTGATTGCTATCAGGGTCAGCTCAAGATAATTTGATAGCTAAAGCAATAATTTAAATTATGGCCGCCTAACAATTATTCATACCATCTTTTCTATTGAAAGTTTTTCTACAATACTCTTTTTTAATTATAGCATCACTAATCTACTTAGTTTTTTTATGACATGGTCAATCTTAGTTACGATTTCATCAATTTTAAGTTCAAAAAATTTCTTTCTAGAGAAGGAACTATATCTAATAATGTCAATAATATACTGTAATAGTGCATGCTTTTAAAAAACGATTTAATTTTTTTAATAAATCAATACTTCAATATAAAAAAATATATAATATTAGAGGAATGGGTTGATGGGGGTTTTCAATTTTGTTTGTTTTATATGCCAATAGCACATTTTTTTCAAAAAAAAAAAAAAGACTGAAAGTGACTGTTTTTGAATTTTTCCAATCATTAATTGACTTTTGGGTCTAATCTTAAATTTATTTTTGTGAACTTGGACTTTCTATTGGGTCTTTTTTGGGGGCTTGTACTATTAGTATAGCATCTGATCTAAATTGTATTATTCAGAAGTATATAATATGGGGGTCTTCATTATCGCCGAGGCCTAAAGCTGACAGCTTCTTTTTTTGGTTCAACAGTAAAAAATATTTTTGTCAACTTATGTATATTTCGACTAATTATTTTTACGATTCAATAAAAAACAAACCATTAACAATAAATTTTAAGTATTTATAAAAAATAAATTTTTCGTAACTTAGACCAAATGGTAAAGCGACAGCTTCAGTGCCCTTGTGCTGGAGCCGGCTATGACTACGGACCCAATTTTCAATTTGGCCTTAAATTTCTCTAAATTTTCTAGATGCCCCCTTCGATGCACGTTAGCAGCGACACTGGTCCCAGTTATAATAAAACTTATGTGCTAAATTTATACACCAAAACCGTGCAATTGGTGCACGCCCCATCACTTCTCTTTTTTTCCTATGCCCACACTGAATGATTGTCTATGGCATGGTTGTAGAGGTCCTGTTTTACCTCTTAGTAATGGAAGCAGCTGCTGACCTTTGGCTTTTGTGACTATAACTATTAAACATCTCTATTGGACTCTATCACCCGACACATTGTTAGATCAACAAATTAGCTCAATTTTTTAGATTTCAATGACATTCCTATTCTCTAGACAACATCAACTTATGGATTGTTCTTGAGACATGTCCCCGGGTAAAAGAGGCGGGGGTCCGAGAGGCATAGGGATCTGCAGATATGATAGGATTAAAAGACCCAAGAATGGATAAGTATAAAAGAAAAAATTGTATGATATTCTTTCTTTATATTATAAAGACCAGTTTTATGAACATAACGCTGAATAATATACCGCGGTTATAACATCATATGGAATATTTGGTCTGTAGATGTAGCTGTAATGTGATTATGGTCTATTTTTGTAGCATTTTCGTATTTTGATCTCTTGTATTATAAACTGATCTCTCGTCTTCAGGTTTCATTGGGAGGGGGGGGGGGGGGGGGGG